AAGCATCATTTCCTTTGGCTTGCACAACCATCACTGTGGCAGGCATAGACCCCAGTTTATAAAGAAGACTTGAAATCGACAGAGAATACACAATTACCAACATTCTGTTGGGGCCTGCTGATGACACTGGTGTGTTATAATCTCCCTAGCTACCAATAGACACCAATTATAAGCTATCCATTAACAGAGATGATTGACCCCTGAATAAACCCAGAGCTCTATTAAAGCTGTCTTAGTGGGGTAATAGAGGAAAGAATGTTCTCAATACCAGTAAACCTAAAATAACCACCAGAATGTGGCTACCCGCTTGAAATAGGTATAATGAATGACTTCCATTGCCCTCAAGTGGCCTTCTACTTAAAAAAAAAAAATATATATATATATATATATATATATATATATATATATATATATATATCAACCCCCTTCATCAAGCCTTAAACAGGACACGCTTCCATTGCCCTCAAGTGGCCTTCTACTTAAAAAAAAAAAAATATATATATATATATATATATATATATATATAGCAACCCCCTTCATCAAGCCTTAAACAGGACACAAACAAGACAAAGTGACAGTCACATCACCTGGTTGAGGGGAACCATCAGCATCACCTCTTATGGTGTCCAAAGGCTTCATAGCCGTTAGAGACAGTAGAAAGCCAGTCATCATAAACTCATGATGGGTGGGAGATCAGCTCAGCACTGTTGCAGAGAGCACTCTAGAGGGAGGAGGGAAGGACCGTGCTTGGATGTACAATTGCAGATGGGGAAAATGTACAGGATTTCTCCTGAGGGCCATTGGCTCACTGGCCCACATGGTGGTCTGGGCATGATTCGACCATGTGGCCCAGACCCACATACACCATGCACCTGTCAGTCATTAAGGTATGCCCAGTCAAATTCCCTGAGGCCAGACTGCCTCTCCCTGCACTTTTTATATCTTTTTTTAAAAAACACCTTTCCCCTGCTGAGTCTCTGTACATTGTGTTTGGCATGCAGACATAGCCATTTAATAACCTAGGAGAGAAGGGCTTTGTGTTCTCCAATGGCACAAAGCGGGGCATGCAAGAATGTGCTGTAACAATGTGCCCAGGGGGCAGGAGGCTCACCTTGGAGGAACTTGACTGATGAGGATGTTTGCGGTTCTACTCCTCCTTGACCTGTATGTTTGGTGAGTAATAAATGTTTGTTGACTCTGACATTACAACAGTCTGTACCCTGCTCCAAACTGTCTTCACCACGAACCTGTGAGAACAGAACATCACAGGACATTGGGAATCAAGTCCAGATTACCACATCAAAGTTTTCTGCCCTCTTGGTGCCTGCCCTGCAGCCAGCACTTAGCCGCAACATAGTGATTAGATTCCTTAAAGGAAGTGGAGTTTGGCTTTTTATAATTCGCATATGCTTTCATCCTTCGAGTTGAAAGACGCATTTTGTGGCCCTTCATTCTCTCACCCACTTAAAATCATAGAAGATGCACATGTTTAAAATACCTTTTGTGTACTCTTGCCCTCCTTAAGATGCTTAGTGAAATTCTTGTCAAAAACACTTCTGGAGGCAAAATAAATAAATAAAAAGAAAAGAAAATACTTCTGTAGGCTTGAGAAATGGGTTTTAAGAAATAGCAGATGATCTTAAATTGTCTAAAATGTTATTTGTAAATAATAGCAGGATCAATATTTTAGTTTAATCTCTAATATATATGAATATAGTAGATTTGAAGTCATCTAAATGAAACGGAAAGCAACAAGATTGATATCCTAGGCAACATTGAGCTGAAATGGACTGGTATTGGCCATTTTCAGTTGAGTGGTCATGTGGTTTACCACGTCTCGATGACAAATCCAAGCAGAATGGCACCACGTTCATGATCAAACAGGACATTTCAAGATCTATCTTGAAGTACAGTGTAAGGCTATCAGCTCAGGGAGAGGCAGTCTTGGCCTCAGGGAACTTGACTGGGTACACCTTAATGATAGGTGCACGGTGTATGTGGCTCAGTGTATGTGTCTGTGAGAGTCCACATCAAAGAAATCTAGTTAATACAACTATGAATTACTCAAATTTACACACCAACCACTAGAGCTAGTGATGAAGATGTTTAAGACTCCTGTTAACTTCCAGAGTCTGAAGTTGATCAGACGTAAACTCCGAATGCGCTGACAGTGATGGATGATTAGAAAGTGAAAGTTGGAAACGAAGGAAAAGACAGGACCTTGGTGATAGAAATGAAGCTGGAGATCACATGATGGAATTTTGCAAGACCAGCGACTTCCCGTTGCAATGACCTTTCTCCAACAACAGAAACGGAGCCGACGCCCGTGGCGTCACCAGGTGGACTACACAGAAAGTGGGGAGCCGTCAGTGATGATGGGGCCTTTCCTCCTCTGTCCTTGTGTTAGGGTGACAGCTCCCCTGCGAGCAACAGCACGAGGGCTTGCACCCTGCTCCAGGGGTGTGACCATCTCCTGGGGGCCCGTCTAGACTGACAAACAGCCTCTTCCATTGCCCATCAAGTGGAGCTTCTCAGTAGGAAGTCAGTAACCCCTAAAGTGCCTTATTTGTGTCCCCGAGAAGCTGTGGAGATGGTGGCAGTGAGAGAACACAGCAATACCAAATGCCGCCTGCCTCGGAAAATCAGTTTATGCTCACACACGCCACAAGGTCACTGCAGTGAAAATCCATCTGTGCCTCCATCAGACGAAGCTACACTGTATTGGCCACGGGTTTCTCTGAAGGTAAAGGGGGTATGCGCACTTCCCCGTCAGCCTTCCTCAGAGGGGAGACTAAGCTGGAACTGCAGTGACGCTTGGAGCAAGACTGCTTTTACTGCTGCTTGGAGCAAGACTGCTTTTACTGCTATCTCCTCCCAAAGCGACGCACCAAGCAAGACCATGAGCCTCCTTGAACCTTTCCTTTCTCTGAACCGCTCCTCGTGAGTAGGAAAGTGATGTCTCTGAATGTGAGAGAAAGTTCGAGGCTTCCTATTCCCCTTGAAGGTTACAGCCTCGGTTACAGCGAAAGGATGAACTTGGGCCCTGCGTTTTCAACTCGCACTGAGAGTGGTTCCACACGTGCCACAGCAGAGCTGTGCTTCAGAGGGTTTTCTTTTTCTCGGGCGCAGATTGCAGATTCCTCTGGGTTAGTATAGCACCTGAAGTGTTTGCACCACTCAGTGACCCTCCATAGCTACCAACGTCCTTGCAGTCCCAGCCTGAAAACGAGTCCCGCCCCACATCTCTCTATTGTTTTGCCTCCACTGAATTCATTAGTCACCATCCAAAGTTATCTTATTTCTCCCCATGTTTGTTCTAGTCCCCTCCACACTTGCCCATTACTTCCTGAGAGCATACCTCTTCCAGCTGGGCTGCAGACCCCTGGTCTACTCATTCCTCCATCAGTACCTATCACATAGCTGTCAGCTGCTGTTGAGTCGGCCCCCAACCCGTGACAACCTTATGCGTAACAGAACAACACACTGCCCAGTCCTGTACCATCTCCCCATGGTCAATTATGGATCGGACCGTTTGATCTTGAAAACAGTAGAGTGAGGGTCACATCCTCCTCCTCCAATTACACAAGGGAAGAGGAGAAAACTCCCTATAATCACTATCAGCTGCCAAGACCAATTCCTATGAGGCTGAAGTCAGACATATCTCCATCCTCCACCCTTCTTGCCAATTCTGACCCCACGTCCAACAGCAAGCACGCTCTACCTCTTGGCTGGGTTCAAGAATTCACTGCAGTTGCCACCCAGAACATACTGACAATTAGAAGGTTTATTAGGGAAGCTAACAGGTTACAATTGAGGCGAGAGCCTCAGGATACAGCTGGCCAGTCAGGACGGTTTCTTCTCTGCCGTGCCCACAGCCAGGCCGCTTTCTGACCTCTGCGCTGCTCAGGCAATGTTCCCAAGATGCCTTGAGGCTGCCTATAAATGTCCAAAGGGCGACACCACTCTGCCATAGTCCTCATTCCAAAGGTGCTCAGAGTTGGGATTTGAACACAGGCAGTTTGTGCTAAAACAATATTGGGAAAAGTAGGCAAGAATTCATTCCTGGTAGCGAAGACTGCTGTGAAGGAAGGAGAAAGGTGAAAACCTTCAAAGAGTGACCCCGGGTAGAGCGTCGAGTAGGAGCGGCTGATTCGGATGTCCACCTCTTGTTTTTCTCTCAGTGGAAAAAGCTATCTCATAAAACAATCGCCTTTGTACCCATTCTTCAAGTACATCTACTCCAAAGTTAATTATTAATACTTAGTAAGACAAATACCTTTTTTCAACAACATGAACGGCCGACAATACACATGGACCTCACCAAGTGGAGTCCACAGGAATCACGGTGGCTTCCTCTGTAAGAAGAGATGATGGGGGAGCTGACTGAGGCTCATCAGTCAGAACACTGCACGGAGCGACTGGAGCAGACCTTCCTCTGCTCGTGCAAGCTCCTGCTGAAGCTGAAGCAAATGAACACAAGTCCGTGAGAGTCATGGTAGGGGCTTGAGGATTTTCTGCTGTCTTCGATTGAGGTTTTTATCTGTTGTACTTTGTTGTTGTTAGTTTCCAACAATGTTTTCCTGTCTATGAAATCCAGGATAAGTAAATCCATAAAGACAGTAACGGGAGTAATGGTTCTTTGGGGTTATGGCAGGGAGAGGCTGGGGTGAAATGGGGAGTTAATAAAGATGAGTACAAAAATGAAGAAAATGTTCTAAAGTAGATTGTGGTGGTGATTATACAACTCTTCCTAATATTATTGACCTATTGAATTGTATAGTTGGTGAATTATGCCATTAAAAGTGTTTAAAAATGGTATCTGTCTCATGGGACTTGCTGGGTGACTATATGAATGAGTCGCCACAGAGCACTCAGGACCAGGCCTGGTCATGGTCTTTGTCATGTAGGGACAGGACACACTGACAAATGCACGTCATTTCAGTGGGAGAGGTGTGTGCTGCGGAAAGGTGTGAGACGGAAGTGGTAGCAGGACGGCTATCTTCAGGAATTCCAAACAACATAATTTATTCATTTTGCACTTAGATATTTGCGGTACACATAGGAAATCTCAAAGGTATTTAGTGTACTTCTAGGGTTTTATGTTTAAGCCTTATACATGTTCTTTCAAAGTGGTTTAGCCCAAACTGCATTGTAAAATTTTACAATAAAGTTCATATCAAAATCACATGCCTTTAGAAAACGACAAAAATCACTCTTCGGTGATTAGTGCTGCAATTCCGTGGGTGAGCATGACTTCATTTGCCAATGAAAAGTTTACTCTGCTCCCTTCTGGCCTTCTCCAGGCTTTCAAACGTGATCATCCCCCCTGGTAGCTGCAGCCTCTCCTTCTCCGCGTCCAGTATGTTCTCGGCTTCACCTGAAAGAAAGCACAGAAAGAGGTCAGGTAACGCGGACTTCTTGAGAGCGTTGTGAGAAGCCCTGGCGGCCGTGTCCCAGTGACAACTCTGTGGATCCGTGTGAGGCAAGTCCCCGCAGGGACCCCTGGGCCTGACTTCTGAGAGAGACAAATCAAACTTTGCTGGGCAGAGGACAACGAGTTGAAAGAAGAAAAAGAAGACCAAGAGAAGCAATCCACCCCTCTCCCCTTGAACAAAAGTTAGGGTGGTCAGTTATTAGTTGTGTTGGAGGATCTGGGAACAGCAGGGCCATATAGGGTCCTTCTAACTGCACCATAATATCATAAATGGCATGAGGGGAAATAAATTTACTAACAGTTCTGCTTCTTCCAGAAAGCTCACCTTTCTCTAGAAAGCAGTTGTAAATCTTCCAAATAAAGCAGTGTTCTCTTGTCAGTATATACACATCCATAAATCATTTCTCTTTCAAACAACAGCTTGCTAGTACAGTAATTTCTTCAAGCCAGTAATATTTGCCAAACTGAACTTAAAATGTATACTGTAATGGATGTGAGTGACATTCCATAAACCTGCCCCAGAAATAAAAGCCAATGTTTTCTCTAAATACTCTTTTTTCCAGGGCAATCTAAAATTTCCAATTATAAAACTATTTCATCTGCAAACTTTGCTTTTTTCGATTCAGTCTTAAATAGGAAATGCAAATCAATTGAGTGCATATACCGAGGAGCCCTAGTGGCCTAGTGGTTACGCATTGGGCTGTTAACTGGAAGGTCAGCATTTCCAAACTACCAGCCACTCTGAGGGAGAAAGACAGGCTTTCTACTCGTGTAAAGAATTACAGTCTCCCATAGAATCCCACAGGGGCCGTTCTACTCTCTCCCACCGGGTCCCTTTGAGTTGGAATCGACCCCATGGCAGAGGGTTTGGTTTGAGATACATACACCGAGGCAGGCCATTGGCAGCAGACTAGATGTTGTCCATGAGAAAGGATGCGTTTATAGCAAGGCTCGTGACACCGTCGATCAAACTTGCATGTTTTGGCACCATCACTACTTAATGGTAAGAAACTAACCTAAACATTTTCTATTCCAAATCATTTTGTTAGGAGCGTATCCAGAATCATACCATTCCATGGTTCCACCACATCAAGCAGTATTGTATAATTGCTTCCACAATCAGTTTCAGAACGTTTTCTTCCTTCTTGAACTCCTTGATATCAGCTTCCCCTTTTATCTCCACTGTACCCCCAGGAACTCTTAATCTAATTGCTGTCTCTACAGGTTCATCAATCCTGGGTGTCGTGTAGCAAAACCAGAAAAAAAGATTTAAGAAGGCTACCCACGATGACAAAATACATCAAAGATAACCCCAATATGGGGAAAAAACCCAGAAAATATTGAAAACCAGATCAAGCCCAAAGTGTGTCAGAGGTGAGATCAAGTGACAAGGTTTTATAACCTAAACATTCTAAAGTGACATGTTTAATAGAAAATTCCCAAAGCATGCCTTGAAATTTTATAATTTTAAATTCTGTGGATTGAATGTATCTGTGATAAAATGCCTTTTCAAATATACAATCAACACTTTCCTCAGAAGTTTCACATTAGTAACATGTGATATGTATGTTGTTCAGTAAGGTTGGCATTTTTTTATGATTTGTATCAATTTTTATGAAGAACTAAGAATTCTAATGTTCATATAAACAAGACATAGACCCATGAATGCATGAGCAGATGAGCAGTGGTGAAACCAAGCAGGTTGTTGAAGTGAATGTAACAAATAGTACATCAGTTGTATGCACTTTGTTTCCAGCCAGAGATGGGTTTGTACACCAGAAGTTACTTTGTTTAGAACTCAAACATTTACCTGTAGTAATGATGATATACATAAATGTCTAGGCTATTTTGTTTAGAATAAAGTTGAACAACAATACCAATAATATCCCACCCCAAATGGACATTTTAACAAAGGTTCTATGTGGAAAATGGATCCCGTTTGGAATGGGAATTTTTAAGGAAGAATGTGATGTCCTACAGGCTGCTCTCAAGGCTGGAAAAGGCTCTGCACCACCTCTTTCTCATCGCAAACCATAACAACAGCTTCCGGGAAGATGATGGGCCCAGGCCCCAGGAGAGGACAGGATGGCAGAGATGCAGCACTATTTTGTTTATTATGTAAGTAAATTATTATAAATATTGCTGATATAACATTTAATAGCACACAATTTACTATTGCACAATATATTTTTTCATAAATTCCATATAGCAGCTAGAATCTCACAAAACGCTTTCCTGGATTTTTGTTGAACTCTTGTATGCATAGACAAGTATGTGGGTACCATTGATGGAAAAACACAGTTCTGATGAGAGTGATAGTTGATATATATCACATTATATTATACATTACACTGTGTGGGATATATTACACTAGTGGGTGGGACACAGGTGAAACAATGAAGGTAGGGGGTGGAACTTATTGGCGATCACCTTTTGTGTGTGTGTGGAAATGTTGGAGGAGCATTTCCTTCATGTTTTGGACCAAAAACCAAACCCAACTCACTTATGAGTTCAACCTGCATTTGGTTCATCACTTCCCTGTTTAGACCACAGACTGGCAAACTTTCTTAAGCAACCAAACAGCAACCATTTGGGGGATTGCAGCACTTTGTTGTTGCGTTGACTCAACTCTGAGATTGTAGTGGGAAAGTAGCCATGGACCATATGTAAATGAATGGACATGTTCCAATAGAACTACTTATAGAAAAGTGCTGGCCTGTAGGCCAGGGACGGTCAACAAGCCGAGACTTGTCGCGTATACAGATCTCCCTGGGATAGATACCCCACCACGACCAACATCGAATGACCTACAGGGTACCCTGAAGGCAGAGCCGTAGCTGTGATTTTGTTGTATATTGTAGTTGTCATCTATTATGCAGAGACAAGAGAAATAAATGGTCCGTGCGTAGATTGCCCAAAAGGAAAATGATAAAACTCATGAGCTCTGAGTATGACCTTTGCTTTCAACATCATTTCATTGAGTACAACTTTTTAATCATTTGATTATGTAATAATTAATGTAATATGTAGTTAATAGTGACTGTTGCTAACCACCAGCTTGTGTAAATCTATGAAAATTGAGCCATCGGTTTTCATAAGCTGGGGTGAACTGGCTCAGGCAAACCACTACGTGAGAGGGAGGAGGGGGCCTGGGAAGGCAGAGAGTTGGGGGAGACAGTCTTTTCAGAACCTTCATGAGGAAGGACGAGGGGCCACGGACGTACCTTTCATTCTCTGCAGAAGGGTTCCATAGCCCAAGTCGTACTGGTAGGTGAGGACAAAGCCTAGTGGAACAATGGGAAAGAGGAAGACCGGCTTCTTCCCTTTTATTGCTCTGTTTCAAGAAGAAAAAGGAACAACCTGTAAGCATTCTTTCTATGCTCGATGGGGAAGACTGTCCTCCCTCAAATATTACTTGTTTGAGGTTTCTATGGAAATGGGGGTTTCTTCCTCAGAGCCGACCATTCTCAAGGGCAAGGCCTGCAAACGTGTTCATCTTTACTTGTCTTTGAGGCTAGTGCTTGCTACCTGCCTCACACGGGCTGTAGATTATAAAGGCATAGAGGCACCATGCTGTCTGTCCTCTCTTTATGTTAGAAAATGCAGAAAAGGGGAGAAGAAATCTAAAAAACTACAGGCAGGATTATGCAATTCAAACTCACCAGCCGCTCCTCGGGACAAAGATGAGACTATGTGCCCCCTTTAAGGATTTACAATGTTAGAGAGCAGTGATGAACCAGTGAAACACCTCAGGGAGTGGTGGCGGTTGGACGCGGAGGACACTATACTGAGTGAAATTAGTCACAAAAGGACAAGTATGAGACCACGGTTAAAAACAAAGACCAAGAAAAGGCTTTCACACACAAGAGACAAGCGCTGCTGGTCCGTAGGGGTGGAAGGGAGAGGGAGGAGAGGGAGGAGAGGGGAAGTCATAGGCTAGAGCAATGTTTCCCAAAGGGGCGATACTGCCCCTGGGGGGCGGAGCTGCCAAAGCAGATGCTTACTGGATGCTATCCCGGATGATGGGCTATAGTCTGAAAGTTCTTAAATGCCAAATCAGTGCAAAGGGAGAGGTAGGCCAATCAGTTTGGAATCCATGGGCTAAAGAGTATCCCCATGTTACCGTGGGTGAAGAGGGGGATCTCCAGGAAAAGGAAGATGGGGAAGCTGGTGGCAGCAGGGCAAGCCATTGGGAGGGCAGGTAAGTTGTTGAGTACAAAAAAGGTGATCTGACTATAAAACCTCACTTAATTACAATGAGATGTTTTTCAAAAATAGATGTATAACTTCAGAAACCCTGTTTGGGGGTCACTCTGAGCCACTAACTCAGGGACACTGAATTTGGCTTGACCGGGTTTACGGAGTTCAAGCAGAACTCTGAGGGTTACTTTGTTTGCACGGGACCCAATCCTATCTTGGCCAATTTCATAGGATGAACATGGCAAAGACATATGACACAGGCACACAGACACAGACACATGCACACAGAGTAAATTAATTTTTTTAATCCTTAAGTATTATTAAGTAAATAAGTATTTATAAATAAGTATTTATAAATAAGCTAATAACTAATCTTCTTTAAGTAAATAGCAAACATACCCAGTTGTTAAAGCGATGGTGACAATGCCAAAAAAGGTTCCAAAATATTTGAGGAATTCTCGAGACCAAGCCACCTGCATGGCCATTTGTCTTTCCCTCATTTCATTCTGCATTGTCAGCTGCCTCTCCAGCTAGGGACAGAAGACAAGAGAGAGTGTGGTTACTGGACTTCTAGTGTGAGCACAAATTTGATCATCTGCTTTCTCTCCTGGGATTTTCCTTCTTCAATCCCTTTGACTAATCTTTGTTTCTTCCCCTGGTGGGGTGGTGGTTCGAATAGCCGGCCTCTCGGTGTGCAGCTGAGTGCTTTATCAATGGACTTTGCCTAAAGTCCCTCTGAATAGTTAGTCCCAGGTGTCACCTGGACAGCCAACTCTTTCTGGATTCTAGTAGAGGATAGACACTGATCTTCTGCTTCTGCAACCTCAGTCTGCTTTGCATGTGGACTGGCTCTCCTAAGCCCTAGATCCATGCTCGGCACCATTATTCTATACGAAGGAAGATCAAAGGACCTTTAAGGGCAGCTGCCCCTTTTATTACCATGTAGCAGGAATCCCCCTGCGCTCCGAATTCACCCAGCGCCAAACGGAAATGCACCTGCTATATCAGGTTCGTCTCATTACCCTGTTCGATGGTGTCATTGGCAATTGCCTTGATTCTCAACTGACATGACCTCACGTGACGGAGCAGAACTTCCCCGTGCTCTTGACTGTTGCCAGAGGTTTCTCCCATACAGCCCCTGGGTGGGTTCGAAACACGAGCCTCTCAGCTGTAGCTGATGCTTCGTCACAGTGTCACAGAGGCTCCCCGACACAATGGCAGAGTGAAATAATAACAGATTTTTTCCTTGCCGCAGTTTTGTTTGGTGTACGTCCACTTTAGTTTGTGGCTTTGACTACCTTGAGACAAACTCAAACCAACTCATTGCCATCAAGTCAATGCCGACTCATAGCAACCCTCTAGGACGGCATAGAACTGCCCCTGTGGGTTTCCAAGCCTGTCACTCTTTACAGGAGTAGAAAGCCCTTTCTCCTTGTGGGAGGCAGATAAGCCCAAACCAAAAAGCAAACTAGCTGCCATCGAGTTATTGTTGACCACGGAAGACTCCAAAAAGAAAACAGCCCAAACCCACTGCATCAGGTCGAGTCTGATTCGTGGCACCCTGTAGGGCAGGGTGGCCCGGCCCCTGGGTCCTGGGACTGGAAGTGTTTCTGGGAGTAGAAAGCCCCATCTCTCTCCCAGATAAAGGCCAGAACCTGGAAAATGAAAAGAAAAACCAAACTCACTGTTAATGAGTCAAGTCCGGCTTGGAGGACCCTGTAGGATAAGGTAGAACTAATGGGTTTCTGAGACTGTAATTCTTCATGGAATACAGAAGGGGGCTCAGTTTCACAAGGGATTTTTAAAAAATGTGCAGCATAAGCAACACTGCAAACCCAAAGCCCTTATTTTGCAAGAGTGGATTCTTGGGAGAGAAGAGTTGGGTTTGGGGTGTGTTCTGATTTCCACTCTTGGCTGTGCCATCCTTAGCACAGCCGGGGAGACTGAACGCAGAATCAGTGGAGAGAACTAGGGCAGGCGCACAGCATCCTTCTGGGCTCATGTCTGCTGTTGGAAGGACCTGGGGAGAAGGACAGCTTAGATGCCAGCCTGAAGCTTGGCTCATGGGTCTTCTTGGAGTTGATGTGATGGCAACCTCAGGTGGGGCTGGGGTCACAGACGACCCTGCCTCCTGGGCAGAATTTTCGAAGGCTGCCCTACAGCAAAGCACACATGGCCGCAGGGCAGATCTAGACTCAGAGCAGGCCTGGGGGTGCCAACCCAGTCCCCCTCAGCGGCCAAGGAGTGCAGAGAAAATCTGAAAGATGCCCCTGACACCCAGAGAGGGATACAGACTGAGAATGTGAAACAGGTCGCCTACCAGAAGGTCACCAACCCTAAGGTTGTTACTGCCATTGAGTCGAAGCTGACTCAGCAGCCCCCTGTGGGTTTCCAGGACTGTCAGTGTCAACGGGAGTAGAAAGCCCAGTCTCCCGCGGAGCGGCTGGTGGTTTCAAACTGCCGACCGTGCGGATCATAACCACTGCACAGCCAGGGCTCCTAACCCTAAGGTTAGGGCCCCCATAACAGCTGGGTGGGGAGGCGGCGGGATCTTGGAGGGCCTGTGGCACCTAAGAGAACAGAGGTAGTGGCCAAGCCAGCCTGGAACTCAGTCAGACACCCTCTGAGCAAACCACCTGGCACAGGTGCTACCGCTTCCCTCCTGGGCACATCCCTCTTCGTTTCAGGCCCACATACCGTCCACACGTTTCAGCCATCCTTTTGAGCCCTTCCTCTTGTCTCCATTGTTGCTGCCTCCGTTGATAGGATCTCATTTTTCTCGGTACCCGGCACCCTCACACCTTGACTTAA